TTGGGTTAAAATAGTCATAAAAAGACAAAATAAACTAAAAAGTCAATAAGACAAAATGTCACATCCAAACTATAATTATTTTATTTTCTCTCAGAAAAGTCAAAAAAATTAATATGTCCATCTCAAACGAGACTTTTTAGCCTAAACTAAAAGGTAAAAATGTCAAAAAATCAACCCACATCTCAATAAAGGCTAAATGTAATTAATGTAATTATATAATAAATCTTCAGAAGGGATATATATATTCGTCATTTCAATTTACCCTTGGAAAAGGTAGGGAAAAAAATGAACGGAAAATGGGCACCCTATTTTTGAAAATGGAAATCAATCAAAATCAAATAGAATTCAAAAATTATTAATTTTGAGAAAATTAAAGATTGGTTAATACTCCTGAATGTAATAATTGATATTTACAAAATCAGGATCTTTTAGCATTTTAAAATTTTGACTCATGTAATACACATAAAAAATACAGTTGATTAGTATATATTATAATAAATGATCGATACATAAATACATTGAGCATTTTTTTTTATTTATTAGATTTTGATAACAAATGCCCCTAAACACAAGAAAAGAATAAAAATAAAATATAAAATATGTAAGACACTTCTCATCAATTTCAAATTTAAAACATTTTTCATTTATTTTAATTTTTTAGCATTTTCACAATTTTGAAAACATTTTTTACACAAATCTCAATATTGAACAGTAGTCCCTTTTTCTTTTTTTTTTTTTTTTTTTTTGTGCAAGGTAAAATATTAGATGTCTGTAAGAAAGGTAAGTTATAACGAAAGGGATTGGTATCAACTCAAATCCCAAATCTCACCACACCCTAAAGCCAGCTGCACCACCACTGTGGCAAATGCTAGGGTTTAAACAATGGTCAAAAGGCACTTGTTAGCATTTGTTTTCGTTATTTTCTACAAAAATTATTTATCCATCACAAAATTAATTGTTGAGGTTAGTGTAGTAGGGAAAATCATATATCTCATTACCCAAAAATTATCACATAAGTCCGAAAATATTACATGATTGTTTATTTAACTAAAAATAATATTTGTAATTTATTCATTTATTTGGTTTAAATTAAACAAGCACACAACCAATCAACGTAATAGTATTCTCCAACTGTTTAAATTCTCATTTTCAATATTTTTTAAAAAAATAAAAAATAAAATGGATATGAGGATTGGGAGTTTTTTTTAAATATATTTTGATGATCCGAACTGTTCATGTTATAAAATTCATCGAATATATTATCTATGAAAAAATCAAATTAATCGAACATCTATAATCCCATAATTAGATTCTCATTTTTAAAAAAAAAATTATAAAAATTATGTTAACCATTTATATTTTTAAAAATTAATGTAATTTTATTATAAAGTTACAGATATTTAATTATTTATTTTTTATATGAATTATCTAATTAATAAATTTTATAATATAAACTATTCAAATTATTAAAATAAATTCGTAGAGGTCGGTACGGGGCCATCACAATTCCAAAATAGAATAGAGGACAAATGGGGAAATGGGACAGATCACCATCCAGGAGCCAAGTGTCCATGCCACGTACACAGTCCTCGCTGACTACGTTTAATATATTAGTTGACGTGTGAGCCCACCCTAGGTGTCGTTAAAATATAAATTTTAATTTTGAATTACTCCTCTATTTGAAAATATTTTAATTTTTTATTTTATTTTTTATTATCTCACAATATTAATTTTTTTAACAAATCAAGGACTAAGGTTATGTTTAACATAATGCGTTAGGGCTAAAATAGTCACAAAAAAATAAAATAGATTAAAAAGTTAATAAGATAAAATATTATATTCAAACCATAATTATTTTATTTTTTCTCTCACAAAAATTAAAAAAAATTAAAAAATCTATCTCAAAAAAGGCATTTTAACCCAGGCTAATAGTCAAAAAGTTAAAAAACTAACTCATTTTCCAAACAGATGCTAAAACAATATTAATTTTCTATTTTACCCTTCTTTTAAATTTACAACAATGATGCATCCCATTAATTTGGGAGCACTAATGGACCACTAATGAAGTGGAAATTCAAAAAAAAAAAAACTTAAGGCCAAAACATCACATCAGTCAGTGGGATTCATTCTCTAGAGCTCCTTTAGTGCTCCCAATTTAGAGCTCCCAAACATTTTTCTTTTGAAAAATCAATTTTTTTGAAATGTAATTATTGTACTATAAAAAAATTAGATTTTTCAAAAAGAACTATTATTTTGAGATAGAAGGAGTACCTTATTAAGTGGTGGAAGTGTTATTTATAATTGTTTTGGGATTTACTTATTTTTTGGTTTATTTTTGTCTTTAATGAACTTTTTTTCAAAAAAATTTAAGTTTCTAGATTCCGTTCGGCAAGATGAATCAAAATTTTTTAATTTTTTTAATTTCAAAAAAAAATCAGGAAAAAAAAAGCAAAAATTTTTTTGACTTATTTTGGCTTTTGTCCATTTTTTTTGAAATTTTTCAAAACAATATATATACTTTTTAGATTTATCTCGACCAACGGACTAAAAAAAAATAAAAACGTTTGACATAATTTTGAAAAAAATTAACTATAAACAAAAAAAATCAGAAAAAAAAATGTAACTTTTTTTTGGGTAGCCAAAAGAGAAGTGAATGGCCATATATTCAGTCTTATGTTCTTTTTAACTACTATTTTTTCTTTTTTCCTTTTAAATGGAAAAATTAACACTTAATATAAGAAGAAAAAAAAATCACTTTTTAAATGGACATAGCTAAGGAAATAAAGTCACTCGACAAAAAAACTTAGAAATTCATGAAGTTCGGAAAGAAAAAGCCACTTGACGGGAAGATATTACTGTTCTGTCAATAAGGTTTTGCCACGTGCAAAATGACAAATATTTAGCCAAACAAAGATATGAATAGAGGATCTAGGACTCATGAAAAGAACGAAAAATGCTTGGGAGCACTAATTAGTGCTCCCACTAATTAGGTGGCAGTGGGTCCCGTCATGAATGATGTGATGTTTTGGTCTTGGAGTTGTAATTTTTTTTTATTTTTTTTATTTTTTTAATGCATTAGTACTATTAGTGGTGATATTTTTAGTGGGATGAATCATTGTTGTGAAAAGAACGTATGGCTAAAGTAACGTTTTTAATACGCACACGAGACCTTCTTATCTCTCTGATTAAATTACGATTTCTATACTTTGAACTTTCTCTCTTCAACGGTCACTTCCCAATCTCACCTCGTATTTAATCCCCATCCCCATTCTCTCCCAATCCCCTCACCTCCCATTTCTCTCTCTCTCTCTCTCTCTCTCTCTCTCTATATATATATATATATAGCAACTAAATAAGTCTGGTTTCATTGCTCCGCAACACTTGATATATCAGATATGGGTTCAGTTTTGATGTTGGTGTTGGTGTTATTTGGAGGGTTAATGGGGTTGTTGGAGGCTTATCAGTTCAACGTTGGTGGGAAAGATGGGTGGGTCTTAAACCCTTCTGAGAATTATAATCACTGGGCTGGAAGACTCAGGTTTCAAGTTGATGACACTCTCTGTAAGTACTCTCTCTCTCTCTCTCCGTAAATCTCACTCCCAATAATACAATGCCCTCGTTTGGAAAATTGTTTATTTTAGTAGGTTATTTTAATTTTTTACTATTTTAATAGATTATAATTGTTGGGCTTGTTTGTTACAATCTTTGAGATAAAATTTTAAAATTTTGTTTGGTTTAAATTTTTTGAAAAACAATTTCAAAATCACTTTTTTTCTCCTACACATCAATCCATCTTATTTTTTTTCTCTCTTCTCTCATTTTCAATCATTTTCTCTCACATACATCTATTCAACTACAACAAAATATTAAATTATCTCAAACTCCAAAACTATTTTCAAAATATATAACTAAACAAGCCAAAAAAAAAAAAATTAATCTCTCTTTCCAAAAAAAATTTTGAAAATTTATCTCAAAACACAAACTAAACACACCCTTTGTATTTGGGAAGATGGTTGAATCTTTTTATAATTTGATATAATATTTGTGAGAGAAAAAGTAAAATGATTATAGGTTTGACGTGATATTTATTTTATTGACTATTTTAACCTATTTTGTCTTCTTTTTTCCTTTTTTTTTGTGAATTTTAACTCAAAAAAGTTAAAACTCAACTTGTCAAACAGGCCAATATATATGGATGGAAAAAAAAATTTTAAATTGAATTTGATTAAAAATTCTTATAAAACTTTATTCGTTCATGTATATTCTATGCTGGATTTTTATATTCATAGTAGAACCAGTTGTTCTCCTAATGTTAGTCTAGTTTTTTTTTTTCAATACGATAAACTTCTTTTGAGAAATAAATTAAAAGTCACTTTTCAGTTTATAACTTATTTTAAGTGACATTATCTCTCATAATTTTTTATATATTTTTTTTAAAAAAATTAAAAAAACCAACTATTAAGTCTACAAACTACATGAAACATTGATGGAATAATTTGAGTGATTTTGTGGGTTTTACGATGAGTCCCATTATTATATGTATGACGCATATTTACGTAGTTGGTTCTTGTGTTGTTGTTTTGAGTTTATATATTTATCTAAGTTATTCAAAATTTTCCAATCTGAAAGCACAAAGAAAAAATTTAAGAAGCACGCAATAGTTCCTTTCATTAGTAGTTTGAAATTAATTAAAAAATATAAAGCAAAGTTGGAAGATTCAAATAGAAGAATTAACACATTAAAAATAAAAATAAAAATAAATTATGGTTTTTTTAAAGTGTATCTCAATGGCATTGGTTAATAATGTTTTTAAGCGGTCATCATTTTTTATAAGAAATTTATAATCGATGGTATTATATGTACTAATTAATGTACATACTAATGTATCAACTAATATTATGATATTATTATTGATCACATTTATTATATAAGTTACAAACACTTAAAACTATACAAATGATACCACATCATCTATTAATATATTAGTGTGTACATTAATTAATACATATAGTATTATTCATGTATAATTATTTTAAACTTTTTTTTGATTAACATATTAGTAGTGTGATTGCTCAATTGTAACAGCCTAAAACAATAGGAATAGTTAGAGAAAATCACGAAACGCCACCGTCGGACACACAATCCATATCCATTAACAAAATTCATAAAATTGAAAACTAATTACTAATAACTTGTCCAAAAAAAATATATAAACAAGACATAATTTTATTTTAAAAAATTTAAGACCATTGAATATCTTTTCAAAACACTGCTAGCTAGCATTCGTGGCATATATGTTCATAGAAAATAGATGTATTTGTTTTTTTGTTTTTGTTTTTGTTTTTGTTTTTGTTTTGATGTTTGGTTTGTTTGTTTATGATGATCAATAGTTTTCAAATACAAGAAAGGATCAAACTCAGTTTTGGTAGTAACCAAACAAGATTACGACCAGTGCAATACCCAGAAACCAATCATGAAGCTTGACAACGGTGATTCAGTCCTCAAGTTCGATCGATCTGGTCTATTCTACTTCATCAGCGGTGTTAAAGCCAACTGTGACAAAGGTCAGAAACTCATCACCCTCGTTTTAGCAGTAAGAAAGCAACAAAAGTCACCTCCTCCAATGGCAGCACCTCCGGCACCGGTGGGTCAGACCCCGGCACCGTCCCCTAAGTCGCCCTCACCAAGCTCGTCAACCCCGTCTCTGTCTCCGGCGGTGTCAACTTCACCGGTGGGTCAGACTCCGGCACCTTCCCCCAAGTCACCCTCACCAAGCGGGTCAATTCCGTCTCCGTCTCCGGTAGTGTCGTATGCACCGGTGGGTCAGACTCCGGTACCATCCCCCAAGTCACCCTCACCAAGCTCATCAACCCCGTCTCCATCTCCGGTAGTGTCAACTGCACCGGTGGGTCAGACTCCGGCACTTTCCCCCAAGTCTCCCTCGCCAAGCATGTCAACCCCCTCTTTTTCTCCGGTAGGGTCGCCGGTGGGTCAGACTCCGGTACCATCCCCCAAGTCAGCCTCACCAAGCTCGTCAACCCCATCTCCGTCTCCGGCAGTGTCAACTGCACCGGTGGGTCCGACGCCGGCAGTGTCACCTGCTCCGGCGACTGCACCCATGACCAACGCTCCGGTGCCCTCTCCGACGTCGAATTTCTCACCATCATCAGCACCGGCGAATGCACCAGTGTCTACGACTCCGGCCAACACGCCGGCAATGTCTCCTACTACGGCCAATACACCGTCACTGTCACCATCTCCGGCGACTGCATCAACACCGCCATCACCGCCTCTTGCACCGTCCACAACGATAACTCCGCCTCCATCTTCCTCGGCATTGTCACCGTCGGGAGCCCCCGGTAGTACTCCGGCGAACAATAGCTCGACGCCGCCGCCTTCATCGGCACCGGCATTGACTCCGGGGGTTGTGTTGGTGTCCTCGATTACACTCGTTTTGAGTGTGTGCATGGGTAGTTTTATTGCTGCCCCATAGGAACATAATATATGTATATTTCAGTTTGTCATTTACCAGTTTCTTACATTGACAGGTAAATTTTTGTTATTATTTTTAATTTTTTGGGGAGATTTTTTAGATTAAGTTAAATATTTAATAAATTTATGAGTTATGTATTTAATCACTCTCATATAGAAGTTTCCTTTGATGTAAAATTGAGAGATGTTACATACCATTTAAATATTTTATTAAAATACTTTACTTTGGAGTTTGTTTAATGGGAGAATTTTAATACATGGGTTAAACCAAAAATATATATATAAAAATATGTGAAGTGCAAGTGATTTTGTGATGAGATTGTGAGTGCCAAAATTCATGTTCGTGTAAAAAAAAAAAAAAAAATCTTCCATTGAGATGTAATTCCCCTTTTTTTAATTATTGTATGAGTTAAAATAAGATTAACTTGGTTTGTTGAGTTGAGTGTAATTTATTTAATTTTTTGGGGGGTTTAGTTTTTCCTAACAAATAATATTGGACTTTAGATATGATTATTTACCACCATTCATTCATCCAACTTTTAAATATTTGTCTTTTTAGTGTTTTTTTATTTATTTTAAAAATATTTCATTTTAGGTCCTACTAGACTAAAGTGAAAAGTTAAAAATGAAGAATTACACACATCAGCGGTGTGTCAAAAAAAAATTATAAAAAAGTGATAAACTTTATAAATACTATTAATAATTAAAATCATAATTTTTTTTTTTTACCATTGAGATGTAATTCCCCTTGTTTAATTATTGTGTGAGTTAAAATAAGATTAACTCGGTTTGTTGAGTTGAGTGTAATTTATTTAATTTTTTGGGGGGTTTAGTTTTTCCTACCAAAATAATATTGGACTTTAGATATGATTATTTACCACCATTCATTCATCCAACTCCTACTAGACTAAAGTGAAAAGTTAAAAAATGAAGAATTACACACATCAGCGGTGTGTCAAAAAAAAATTATAAAAAAGTGATAAACTTTATAAATACTATTAATAATTAAAATCATAATTTTTTTTTTTTACTATAATTTTTTTAAAAAAAATGGTCTAAAGACAAAAAAATTAAGAAGGTTCACTTTTTTCGGCTTTTGGTGATTTTTTTTTTTCTTTCAATTTTTAAAGAATTTTTTACCTTTCATATTCGTCTAACAATAATACTAGGGATAATGAAAAAAATATCATGAAATGTTTCATGAAGATTTTTTATCCCTTGATTAGTGTGTGGAGTTTTCTTGTATGTGTAATCTAACGGTGGACAATCTTTCATAATTATTTTCATAATATTTTTTTCATGATACGTAGCATTATTGTTCTCGTAACTAAACATGCTTGAAATGTAAATGTAAAATTTTTAACACAAGTAACATAATGGGATAATACCAACTCTGATAAACTACCTTTTTTTCAGACATCCAGTCTACGATATAACTACTACTATTGCTTAGAATATCTCTAACAATCCTCCTTGGTTATTTATCAAATTTTAGCTAAAAAATATATTTTCTATTTTAAAAAATCACTTTTTCAATTATCATCTCCAACGATACCTCTTATCTTTTCTCTATATATTTTAACTATTTTTAAAAATATTTTTGCTTTATGTTTTTTTATTAAAAATATTTTTTCAAACTCTCTTCTCTCGCTTTCACTATTTGAGAAAAGATGAGAGAATGTTGAAGGGAATTCTTTCATATTTTACTTCTCTGAAGTAAGAAAAAAGTGAGAACGGAGAGACTATTGGAAATGCGCTTACCTGTGTGAGAAGGATGGTATTGTACTGTGACCATGTTCACATACAAATTTTCCAAGATGTATTTATTACATGACAACAAATCCCTGTCCTCTATAAATGTGTACTAAACAGCCATTGTCGGTAGCGCCATTTCCATACACACAAATCCTATGGACCCAAAAGAATTGTCTCACAATTTGTCATGACTTTATTTCATAATGAATTACGCCTTTTGAAAATAAGTTAATTTAGTAATTCTTTGATTATTTAATTAAAATATGAATTAAAAAAATTAGTATGTTTAGGATAATTTTTTAATTTTTTACAAAAAGATATATAAAAAGTAGAGAAAAAAGAAAATCTTTGATTTTTATATATGGATGGTTTGTTTTTTTGACTAATTTAATAACTTTTTGACTAAAAAAGAAGGTTTCCAAACGAGGCAGCAGCAAATTTGTTTCGGCAACTGTGCAGTGTATAACTCAACTTGTTGAGTTTTCAATTAGTATTGATTGCTGCTTTGGGTTTTGACTTGGCCAATCAAGAGTTGGTGCCTTGGTTTGTTGCTCCACTTTGAAGCGATTGATTCAGTTCGGTATTGATTTGGTTCGTTATTTTGGGTTTTTTTTAATTTTGGTTCTGAAGATTTTGGTTCATCTATTTGGTGAGGTATTTTCTCTTTATTTATTTGTGATTATTTGGAATTCACCTAAGAGTGGTTTGTGAGACCATTCGTGTCTTGTTTGTAATCGTTTGGAAACTTATTTGGTTGATAGTGGAATCAGATTTCGATCCCATGGATGTACCTCACCTTGAGGGAACCACGTAAAAATTCTTGTGTTGCTTTTGATTTAATTTTTTCGCATTAGTTTTTATTCCCATTGATTGATTTACTTGTGGGGAATCACATATTTTCCCTAACAACTGGTATCAGAGCTTACGATTTATTTGGATTTATTTATTTGTGTAAATCAATGGAAGGAAATGTGGGTCGTATATATGAATTAAAAAAATTAGTATGTTTAGGATAATTTTTTAATTTTTTACAAAAAGATATATAAAAAGTAGAGAAAAAAGAAAATCTTTGATTTTTATATATGGATGGTTTGTTTTTTTGACTAATTTAATAACTTTTTGACTAAAAAAGAAGGTTTCCAAACGAGGCAGCAGCAAATTTGTTTCGGCAACTGTGCTTAGTGTATAACTCATTTTGTTGAGTTTTCAATTAGTATTGATTGCTGCTTTGGGTTTTGACTTGGCCAATCAAGAGTTGGTGCCTTGGTTTGTTACTCTACTTTGAAGCAGTTGATTCAGTTCGGTATTGATTTGGTTTGTTATTTTGGATTTTCTTTAACTTTGGTTCTGAAAATTTTGGTTCATCTATTTGGTGAGATCTTTCCTCTTTATTTATTTGTGATTATTTGGAATTCACCTAAGAGTGATTTGTGAGACCATTCATGTCTTGTTTGTAATCGTTTAGAAACTTATTTGGTTGATAGTGGAATCGGATTTCGATCCCATGGATGTACCTCACCTTGAGGGAACCACGTAAAAATTCTTGTGTTGCTTTTGATTTAATTTTTTCGCATTAGTTTTTATTCACATTGATTGATTTACTTGTGAGGAATCATATATTTTCCCTAACAACTGGTATCAGAGCTTACGGTTTATTTGGATTTATTTATTTGTGTAAATCAATAGAGGGAAATGTGGGTCGTATGTCTAGCTTCAATGGAAGCAATTGGGTAACTTGGAAAACTAAAATGGAGGACCTATTATTTTGTAAAAATTTGTATGGACCCATTGAGGGTGATAGTGGCAAACCTGAGGGTATGAAAGATGCTGAATGGAATAGGCTTAATCGAAAAGCCGTTGGTGTTATCCGTCAATGGATTGATGACAGTGTGTTTCATCATGTGCTACTGAAACCTCGGTACATGATTTATGGAAAAAATTAGAGGGCCTTTATGATATAAAATCAGCCACAAATAAAGTTTTTATGTTTCATAAGTTGGTTAATTTAAAATATAAAGAGAGCAGCCCTATTCCAGAACATCTGAATGAAATAAAGAGTATTGTTAACCAACTTGCTTCTATGAAAATTGTTTTTGATGATGAGTTACAGGCTTTGATGCTACTTAGTTCTTTACCCGAAAGTTGGGAGACTTTGGTTGTGACTGTTAGTAATTCGGCGCCCGATGGAGTTGTCACAATGGGCCAGGTCACTAGTAGCCTGTTGAATGAAGAAACTAGAAGAAAATCAGCGAGTTTCTCTCATTCGGAAGCATTTGCTATGAGAGGCCGAAGCAAAACAAGGGGGAGGAGTAAGACTCCTCGTGGTCGTGATCAAAGCCATGACAAATCAAAAGATGGTTCTTTTTCAAAGAAAGACATTGAGTGTCATTATTGCCATGAGAAAGGGCACATGAAGCGAGAATGCCGAAAGCTCGAGAACAAGAAGAAAATGCGTGACAAAAGTGTGAACAAGAAACAAGAAGACACAACGGCAGTTACTACCAATGATCTCATGGTCGTTTATGAAGATGATTGTATCAATTTTGTGGACCAAGAGAGTAATTGGGTGATTGATTCTGGTGCTTCTTTTCATGTGACTTCTCGAGTTGATTTCTTCACTACCTACATCGAAGGAGATTATGGTTTTGTTCGAATGAGTAATGAAGGTTTGTCCAAGATTATTGGCATGGGTGATGTTTACTTGGAAACAAATTTGGGCTGCAAGTTGTTGCTTAAAGATGTGAGGCATGTTCTCGACATTCGCCTCAATTTGATCTCTACTGGAAAGCTAGATGATGAAGGCTTCAACAACAAATTTGGTGATGGAATATGGAAGCTCACAAAGGGTTCTTTGGTGGTAGCTAAGTGTAAGAAAACTCATACACTTTATTCGATACAAGGAAAAATTTGTAAAGGTGTTGTCAATGCACTTGAAGATGATACTTCTACCGAATTGTGGCACAAGCGACTTGGGCACATGAGTGAAAAGGGGCTGTAAGTTTTGTTCAAGAAAGAGCTTCTACCCGGTTTGAAAGGTACGCATCTCAAAACTTGTGTTCATTGTTTGGCAGGTAAACAACATAGAGTTTTTTTTCATAAAAAATGTTGCTTCTAGAAAAGAAAATGTTTTGGAGTTGATTCATTTGGATGTTTGTGGTCCTTTAAAAGTTAGAATACATGGTGGTGCACTTTATTTTGTTACTTTCATTGATGATTATTCAAGAAAAGTTTGGGCTTTTCTACTAAAAATTAAAGATCAAATTCTAGAAGTATTTAAGCATTTTTAGGCCATGGTTGAAAGAGAAACAAGGCAAAAATTGAAGTGCATCCGATCAGAAAATGGTGGTGAATACATTGGGCCATTTGATGAGTATTGTCGCTGCCAAGGTATTCGGCATCAAAAGACAGTTAAGAAGGCTCCTCAACAAAATGGCGTTACCGAGAGGATGAACCGCACCATTGTGGAAAGAACAAGGT